ATATATATATATATATATATATACGCATATATGTATACGCATTAATATGTGTCTGGATAGTGGAGTCTATGCCGAGAACGATCAAAAATTTTAAATTAATATATTTTTACGTTTTTAGTGTAACATAGTGTCTCAGCTGTTAAATCATAACAATTTGCTTGATATGAAAGCTTTGCAATCTATACGTATAGAAATAGTGATATCCAGACACATAGTTTACACGAACAACGTCGAGAATTTTCTTAGAATTAGATTTAGACGTTTTCGTCTAAATCGCAACGAATTTCTTATATGAAAATTAACACGTACATGTGACTGCGTGTATTATAGGTGCGTGAGATATTGCTGTGGTAGTATAATAAAAAGACATGTCGATGTGCGGCGCGCGAAGCGACGTCTGGTGATTTCATCAGAGTTCGAGCTTTGCTTTAGAATCTCCTTAATTTTTTTTATCTCATATAAAAATATTTGTATGTGTATCTGTTGAATATGAAATATATCAATACGAAATAATATATATAAAATTTCTTTAATTTGCTAAAAATAGTTTATAATTATATTAAATATTTATTGAATTATTTGCACGAATCGAATTATGAAAGACAAGACGAGCGCTTCAAGTATGTTGCTGCTGGAGATTTTGCCTTTTTCGATTTTTTATCTTACAATTTTCTACTTCCCGATAAAAAATTTTTCATGCATGAATATATATAAATACGTATAAACATACATAAAAATTTTTTACCGGGTTGTTATCGATATAAAAATTCCTTTTAAATTTCTGCACTTCTCATTATCTCTGCATTTTGTTTCTCTCATTTTAATGTGTTGCTATACTTAATATATTTCAAATGTACTTTATATAGTATATTATAATTTGAGATAATTATCCCATATAACATTGTTTTAAAGGATATCCAAAGGACGTTTACACATAAAGATGCCTTTAAGGTGCCGCTCGGAGAAATGTGTTCTGTGAGACATTTTAAATAAAGATACTCAAAATATTATTTTGATTTCATTTCTTTTTTCAAGGTTTTAAATTAATATACAATAATAAAATTGTTGTGTAATATCGTTTGTGACAAAAGCATCGAATTATGAATATTATTTATAATAATTTTTAAAAAAGTAAAGTTGAGTTAATTTTTGTTATCTCTTTTTTGCGTCTCATCTTTTTATTAGTTTTTGGCATCATTAATCGCGATTTAACTGTAATCATGGAAGATATTATGCCTCAGATAATTTTTAGTGTAGTTAATTAATCATTATTGTAACAAAATTTGTAAGGTACAATCCTTTTTAATATAGAAGCATGCTCGTGAAATAATTTGATCAAAATATTATAAACATTATATGTGCGCGCGCGCGAGCGTGTGTGTGTGTGTGTGTGTGTGTGTGTGTGTGTGTGTGTGTGTGTGGTTTGAGATAACAATAAATTTTGGTCTTTTAAATCGATGTGTTTTTAGAGATATGTTTACAAATATAATATTTAATATAGATTGATGCTGATAAACGCTATAGCGTTGTCATGCCAAATTTATAAAGACACAAAGAAAAGATCGAACAAGTTGTAACGAATGTAAACATCATTGAGAGCAAATGTTATAGTGTTACTAAAGGTGGGTAAAAATCAAGAGTTTCATCACTGCTCGGAGATCGTTTTAATTCTACATTTTTTAATGTATTTTTCTTCGTTGAAATCGAAAATGATCATTATAATAACGCCTGATTCAAGAAAAAATTAATACATTGAAATAAAGTGAATAAAATCCTTATTTGCATTGTTATAAACCACTGTCAATTATGCTTCAATAATTTATTTATGAAATTAGTTTCAAATTAGATCAAATGCGAATAATATTGCACTACAAAACGTTAATTAGATATTTTAACGTTTAAACGTTTATTGGATATTTTTATTAATATTTTTATTATGATATTTGTCATCTCGATACCGTTTCCCCCATTCTGTGTGACATTAAGGAATACAGTAGTGTCGCTGCGCTTGGCTTATCGCTGACTACCGTGTCTCCTGATGTATATATATAGAAGAAGAAAGAGAAAGGAGAGAAAAAGTTTCATACATTCGATCATATTATAAACAAAATTTAAATATTTTAATATATTCTTAACTTCAAGAAATATTAATGAAACTATATAAAATTTTTATACAATATATCTTTATACATTTTTATATACTTTTTTAAAATCCATTTCTCATGTACTATGTTGAAACAATATTGGTCTGTGTCGCACATGTATCTCGCAAAATCAAAGCACTTCCACTCATTATCCGCTTAACTCGCGGTGACCGGCTAATCAGTACTATTAATTGTGATAATTGGCGCGGTAGACCGCCTCAACCGAGCTGCGCCAAATTGTCAGTCCCAACGGTCTTTAAGAATGCGAATCTCTCGTACGTTTGCGCTAGCCATCCTATGTGTCTACCTTCGTGATATTTATGTCGCCACTTTATCTCAAAGTAGCGGTTGGTTTGCGCGCGATAAGAGATACCTGGTGTATCCGCCGCCCGGAAACAATACTCCTACGAAAGTTCAGGTATATGCAAGTTTACAGTTCTAAAAGTGTTCTTAAACAAAATAAACGAGGTCGTATGAAAAATTGGTTAAACTGATATTTTAACGAGACCATTAAGGGATATTGCTAAATAAAATAACAATTGAGATTTCTTGTTAATCTAAATAAGTATTAATCATGAATTTTAAATACACGACTCGATGTTTCGCTTTTCTTTAATAAATTAACTGTGCTATATATTTTTCTTATAATAATAATCAGAATTAGTCAGCATATTCAAGGAACACCTCAATTTTTCATTTAGTTTAGAAAACTTCAACAAAGTTTACTTGACTTCAAAATTAAATAAAAGTTAAATAAAAATGGATCTGTTATTCGAATCGTTTTGTACAAAATCGACGGCGGGCGACACGTTTGATGGAGGATTCTGTGATTCGCGATATCATCGGCGATATTCGAATCACAAAGTTTTGGGACATCCATTTTCCGATCTAATTTCGTGTGGTTGAACCTCGATCGCTGGCGGCTAGTAGGCGGATGGCATGGCAAGAGAGAGAACGGGGTGATTCGATCTCTGGTTGTGGCAAACGATCGATGACACCTTCCTATATTTGAAAACCGTTCCAGTTAATCCTCGGCCTCGGTTTACCCATGGAAGTTGACGTCAGCATGATTATCGGCTACGTGATGAAATTTAATTACGTCCTGCCCTTTAACGCCTCGTACTTGACGGATCCATACGTCCGCTATGACAGATCGATCAACCGCCATGTCGAGCCTGATGGAAATGACGCCTCTTCACCAAATGCGAAAGGTATCATGTTCTTTGCTTGCGCGGCATATGAAATTAATTGAAGCTATTGTCCTCTCAGAGGGCTTTTCCACGTTCGATTCGCATCGGAAATAAAATAATCTCGAATTATTACTCAAACGATTAATTCGTAGCATTTAGTCTGTATTAATTCTATATGAATTAATTGAAGCTATTGTGACGACCTTTCCCATTTATATTTTTACTCACGCATTCTCTCGTAGTAGTATAATAAAATAATATTTTAAATCATTGTTCAAATTATTGGACTTATACCATTAGTCTGAGTTTCTATTATATATAATTTTTATTATAAAATATTGTCGAATTATTTACGTCATAATTTTAATTTTTATATTGAAATTTAATGTATTAGGGCATTAAAAGATTATTAATATGTACTAAATGTTTACATACACAAATATTGTTAATATATATTTGAAAGCTATTTATATTTAGTCTAAAGATCATCGTACATTTCCATATCTGAGAATCAAAAGAAAATAAATCCAAAATCATCGATCGTAATATCGATCGCTTATTAATTTATCATCAGATAACTCTTAATCAAAGAAAAAATATCAATCTGACGCGGATGCAACATCTATAACTGATCTGGAAAATTTATCTTGAAGAGATCATTAATTACATATTGTATTTTGGATCTTCACAGAAAAATTTCTGCGAGAAGCAAAGTTCATGAATTATGTCTTTCTGCTTCTCGGCTTCATCAATATGTTCAAAAGAAAGACGATTAGATAATAAAGAAAAAAAACGATGAAATATTATGTAAAAAGTAGTTGATAAGATGTCTTGAGAGGGTTTTGAGTCGAATTGTATCCCTCAAAATGGGCACATTCAATACTCAAGGAGCTAAGAAGAAGGCTTAATACTGGGATAAAACGAGAATTCTTTCCTTTTACATGTTAATAAATCTACTTTCGTTGCGTGGCCCGTGCGTCTACTTCCTAGTACAATGGACGTTAATCTAACTCCTTTATCGAAGGACTCTTTCATTCGCTTTGATCTCGTTAATCCAACCTAACGTAGCCTGAATCTTTCCCTTTTTTTTCTTTAATTTTTTTCTTTTTATCATACCTTTTCTTCTGTTGTATCGGACTCATAATGACTTGTGGCGTTTGATCTTCAGATACTTGATGGTCTTTAAGGATATTTTCTGAGATATTAACCGGTACTGATGTAACAAGAAAATATAATAAAGGTTTAAAGAACATAATATTACATTTAATCATAAGTCTAAATTACATTTTGTCCGTACAGCTTTAATCTTAGAGAAGACTTTTATAAAATAAAAGAAATATTTATTTATAAATAATTTCCGAGTGTACATTAATTTCTTAATTAATTTTGAAAGATATTTAAAAGAATCTTTTACTTGATGGTTCTAAAAATGATGAATGTATAGCTAAATAATCGTTAGATATATAAATTTGTGAATAAACTTGAAGTCTAAAGTAAATGTTTAATTAAAGAACATATTCAATATATTTCATTTTTGTTTCTATTGTTATTTTTTATACGACGAGAAGCGATGATATCCAGATGGGAATGTTACGAAATCCTCGAATCGGTCTTCGAAACCACACGTTCGGGGAAAGCCTGTCTTTTGAAAACTATTTGCGAAGCCGCAGCAGTGCCTTTTAGACGGAGCGATACTTTGACTGCACAGCTCGCCCATATTTTCTTCACGTAAGCGTTAATCTGGCAAGTCTCTTAGAGTAATCTTTATCTAAGCCCAGAATAACTTCACGATTAAGGAACTGTATACATTTGCCTTACCATTGTCGTGGCTTATGTTAGGCATATGAATAGTTCACGTTACATGCATAATCATATTATGCAGCATATCTAGGCTCATTGCATACGAACGCTTTATAACACATTTATTCAGAATGAATAGAACTTGCATGTTCTGAATATTAAAACTTATATTCTGAATATATTATAATTTGTATTGTAACAATTGCGAAACAACATCTTATTTTATTGAACGACAAGCGTAATACATAATAAGTACGTTTCATATCGTTATATTTCTGTAATTATTGTTATATATTTTATAATATTTTTCTGCAAAAGAAATCAAAATTTCATTTTAAAGATGTAATAATTTTTATCAATATTTCAGGCCTTCTACTACACCTGAATCATTCAGTAATGCCTTCGATCAAGAATATCGTGCCGCCGAAATCGCAGGTCAACAAGATTCCAACAGCTGTGACAATTTATTTCCGGAATGCACGGAAAGCCTTTTAGATTATTTTACTGAAATATTAGAATAACTACATCATTCTAGAAGAATTTTAAAGTTACGTCTTCTGCGTTTAATCAAATTACTATTTCTATTTATACAGAATTTATGTCATGCAGTTTTTATCGCAATAGTAGAATCAGTAGTTTTCCTTTATTACAATTTTATGAAAATATTTCTTGGCGTTTATGGTATTATAAATAATAATGAAAGCTGAGTCATATGAAAAATAATTTTTGTATATTTACTGAAACGTGCGACACATTGAATGAAATTACATGCAACATACACAGTAAAGAAAACATTGTATATTTGTGTTGGAAACGGTTTATTCGTTCTTGTTAACAATTTGTGTTGAATTTTTTAAGATATTCCAGTGTTAATTTAATATGATGAGATTATGTTATTTAAAGATTTTATGTTACATTTTATGCAACATTTCTTAATGTCACGGGTTTATGAGTAAATAAATAAATAGTGTAAAAATAAAGTGTTTTTAAACATAAATTCTAATTGTAAGATGAATGAATAAAATGTGGATTAATTTAACATATTATAAATATTAATTATACTAAAAAATATACTTCTACATTTTGTTTACAAACTGTGTCAGCATTATCTTTTTTGTGATTATTTTACACAATATCTTTATTTCTAAATATATTTATTTTATTAAATAAACACAAAAATTTGAGTGGACCGTTTGAGATATACGAAATGTGTTGCATTTGGCACAATTTTCCAATAGCGTAATTGAAGAGAATTCGAAACTTAAACGAAGTATCTTTTTTGATACCACCTTCATTGTACTGCATCATGATTAATGATCAGTCTTGACCTTTATAAATTTCGAACAGACCATTTTCTATTCGCACCTGTTGTCGAACGAGAATATTGGCAATAACATCCTATAACTGCGTCACGTTTAGTCGCAAGCGGCACGTCCTTCATACTTCTTAGTTCCATGTGCTGTCGTTACTTCGTTCGTTTACTTCCGTTCCGCCCATTGCATTGGTGATGATAAAGAAGACAATTTTAAATTTGACTCAAAATAAATTCCATTTAGTTTCTCTACTAAATGAAACCTATTTCCACAACGTGGCTACGTGATTTCGGTATGCTATCTTTAATGATGTAACAAAAAGTGTGTAAACCAAAATTAATTCTAATAAAATTAAAAAATGAAGCTGTAAAACGCATCATAATGATGAATAAAATAATAATCAATGTAATTGTTAATTGTTAATTGTTAATAATTAACATTTAATATTTAATAATTAAATATTGTAATAAAAAGCAAATTTATACAACGGGCTATTAATTGAAGACACAATTATTCTTAAAAAAACATCAATTTTATGGACTTTTGGAAGAACATATGCTCTGGGAATTCCCGTTAGTGGTTAGTAGTCTTTTATAGATGAATTCGTCTATAAATTCATTGCTTTTCTATCTAATTAGAAGAGTCCGCAATTCACCAGTAAGTTTTTTGTAAGATCCTTGTCAGTTATTTTATAAGACAAAGAGTATCATTATTAGATAACAATCGTTCCATTTTTTTCCATGTAGTCATTCCAATCTAATACCATGTAACGTGGTGCTAAGATAATATCATCTATCATCTAAAATAGATCTGTAATATACAAGGTAAAAACTGAAATGCTATCTCTTCCAAGGTATATATTCTATAACTGTTTTACACGCCTACCGACAGTTGTTGGTGTCGTTGCGCAGATATTTTATGTGATAAAAAAACTGTGCCACGACACCGACAACTGTCGGTAGGCGTGTAAAATAGTTACAGAATCGCACCCCTGATCTCTAAAATTATAGTCGCAATAATGGGGGACAATAGTGAGCCCATAATGTTCCAAAGATTTGTTTGTAAAATTTTTTATTAAGTACAAAATATAAGGAATCTAATTTGGTAGTTATTAAAAATTTTTTCCTGCCTTATCTATATATAGTCTTATTTGATATAGTGTCATCTCTTATTAATACTATCAATAGCTAATTATGTTGCGCATTGTTCTGTTCTTTAATATTTGTAATATCAGGATGGACAACGTGCGACAGAATTTGTGATTTACGAGATTTAAAGAAAAAATCTTGCGTATATATCGACGTAACATGTGCACTGGACATCCTGAAACGAAATGATTTTTTCGTAACGTCCAAAGTAAATTATTTTTGAA